GCTGCATTAAAAAAAAAGAAAGAAAAAGAACCCAAATGCTTTTGATGAGGCCACTAGCTTCACCAACTGACAAGAGAGAGAAGATCCTAGCTCCTTGAAACTTGCTCTCATCTTAAACTTGAAAGATCATTAAAACCTTTCAGAATCTGATTTGCTCCCACCTCTTGGGCATATACAGCTAGAAATAATGTTAGAACTGTAAAAGCATAAAAATAATAAGGCATTGACCATGTGCCTTGGTTAATAGTTAACTGTTTTAGCTCATATATGCTACCTGCCCCATCTGGCTTACTCATTCTGTCACCTCTGGGAATAATCAAGAGGCATAAAAGGGCCCTTTGCAAAATTGGCTTTGGACAAAAGGAAGTCTGGGAATGGTTAAGTAAATTAAGGAGCCAAATTTTCTGGGGGACCTGAATGAAGAATAGAATCCCATGTGCTCTAGTTGAATAGGTACAGTCCTTTTCAGCCACCAAGATGACCTCTCACTCTGGATTATCCTTTCAGCAGCGAGGCTCAGAAACCAGGTGGAAGAATTCCATTTCCGTGGGGGCTCTGCTGCCGCAGGGTGATCTGAACAGTGCATAATCCATATGACACTTCATGTTTGCAAATCACTTTGCAATTTCTTTGTCACCCTTAATACACCAAGAGGTAAAGTGTTATCACTATCCTCATTTTGTAGATGAGGAAGTTCAAGTATGGAGAAGACACAGTGCCTAGAGTCACAATCATTTTAGTGCAGAGCTGAAATGAAGCTTACAGTAGCTGCATCACACAAGTGTAGCTTAATTAGTGAGTTACTCTGGCTTCAGTGCTCTTACACCTATGATTAGATTGAGATGGCACCAGAAAAGAAAGAAGCAGAAGAAAGAATAAAGAGGGTTGGCCAGTTAGCTCAGTTAGTCAGAGCGTGGCGCTAATACCACCAAGGCTCAGAGTTCAATCCCTGTGCCAGCCCCCCCAAAAAGAAACCTGACAGTAGGAATCTTTCAGCCCTGTTCTACTCTACCCCTACGCTCTGGCCTTGACCTTTCAAAGGCCTGTTTGCTGTCTTTTGGGGCTCAGGGCCCTGTACTCCTGCCGCCAAGAACACAGGGTTAACTCGATGCAAACCACTGTGGTTCTGCAGCCATGCACTGCCCACCTGGCCCCAGCTGCCAACCCAGAGACAACCACTCATTGGAGAAGTTTTGGGGTTATGGCCATTATGACTGGGCACACTGTAGATGCCTCAGAATGAGGGAATCATGAACAATCCTTTAGTCTTTTTTGTATTTTATTTTCCTAATTTTCTACAGTGAGCATGTATTATTCAGGGTAAAGATCTAATAGCCAATAACAACATATTCTAAGAACTAGGAATAATGTTTAAGAAACATCTTGCACCACGGCAGCACCAATGGAAGAGGGCAAACACAGCCCCAGGAGTTGACTGCTTTGAGAGACACCAGAGTCATTTGTGTTCATCAGCTCTGTGGGCTTGCTTACGAATCTGTCCCCTCACTCAAATCTGTCACATCCAGCTGCAGACAGCACAGAAGACAACCCAGCAGGAATGCTTTGATTATTTCCACCTGTGGTGAAAATCACCTCTCACTCTGAACTGAATCCTTATTTCTCTGGAAAGGGCTGCATGTGACCACTGGGATGGTTAGTCCCTGGAGCAGAGGGAACATTTTCAGAAAAGCAGCTTCACCTTAACTACAAGAATCAACCAAGTATTCCACACAAACCACACCAGAAGATGACCAGAGTGTACTTTTTCCCACTCCTTCCACCAGATACCTGAAAATTGGTTAGAAAGCTCTCAGCATAAGCCAGGTGAAGACAGAGTCTATTCGAAACGCCTCCAGGTGATGTAGTTCATTTCGTTATTCTGAATTTGACTCAAGAGGCAGCTTCAGAGACCTAAGCAGCACATCCTCCCACTAAATCAGGACAGCTCCACGCGGTGCTTTCCTTTCAGGCCTCTAATCGTGAGTGTAGATGAGTAATGAGATATGGGGCCCAGTCTCAGAATTTCAGGATATTCTCTCCTCTTACCAAAGCAAAGGCAAGCATTGTTAGGTGGAACCACTCACCCTCAATGGGAGAATGCACCAAAACGGCACCAGCGCCCAGGGTGCTGCACACAGACACAAGACCAAGGAAGGCTTTGCCTTGATTTGGTGGAGTTGTCCAATCTCTGTGACTTTAGGATCCCTGAAGTTGAAGGGGTAGAGTTGTTGAAAGGCTAAGTCTTGTAGGAGGGTTGAAGCTGGAACAGGCACAGTTTCTTATTTTTTATGTTTTGATGCCAAGGAGCCACAGACCTCCTCATGATGCCTACAGCCACAACACAAAGAAGGGAGCTGCTTGGAATCTATGAGCCTCTCTAGAGAGGAGTTACTTAATTATGTTAATTGACCACAGTTAATGCAGAGGAAAACAGAAGTGAATGAAGACAGGAAAAGGAAACAGAAGAAGAAACCAAAACTCCCAAAATGAGGAGAGAAAAGCAGTGGGACCTCTCAAGGCAGACACGTTACTTTCCTGAATCCCCAGTCTAGTAGGGTAGGGAAGAAAATAAAAGCTGAAATGGGCTTCGTGCTCAAGGTTGCCTTTCATGGAGCTCAGAGCACACACACAGTCACATACCTCGTATGCATGTACCTGCATGGAATTCAGACCTGACCTAGGGTGGGAGCTGGGGGCTTTAGTGAGGCCCCTGAAGGGTGGGTTCTACTTTGACATGGACTGAGCAGAGTCTGAGCTAAGGAGCCTCACAAGTCGAGGCTCCTGTCTTCCTTTTCCGCATCTTCTTCCTCAGTCACCTCACAGCAGAAAACTTCAGTAACTTCTTAGAGTCGCATGTTTTAATCCTGGTCAAGCCCCTATGCTGGAAGGATCAGGTCACCTGGGAAGTTTTCCCATTGGCCACGATTTGCCATCTGTACAGGGCCCCCCCTCCTGGCCATGTGGCAGGGCATGTTTTTGCTCCCAAGTAGGATCAGACCCCAGAGTGTGTGCCTCTGTACCTATCTGACCCCCTATCAGCAAAGACACCCAAAGCCCCTGCTCTGCTGGTGGCAAGTTGAGCACCGTGGTTTACAACTTTCCTGAGAGTCTGCCTAACATTCCAGAGATGCTCACGGTTTCAAAGGGATGCAGTAAGCTTTGCTAAAGGTCTGTCACAAAGATAACTACAGGGATGGGGTAGAGTAGATGATCTATTCACAGCCAGAATGGGATTTTCAAAAGACGGTATAAATAATGAGAGGTTTGTGAGCCAGTATCCTCAAACGTGCTTACTTAAGTTTAAATGGTTGGTAGCAAATTGTCCCATTAGAATTTTTTTACCACTTTCCTGCAACTGGAAAACAACTGGAATTTAGGTCTGGTCAAGGACAAGCCCTCAGCCCCGAATGGATGCTCGTAGACACCTGCCTGTCCCTGTCTCGGCAACGCCCATTGAAGACACTTGCGAGATATCTCAATCTGAGATACTTTTCTTCACTTTTCCTCAAGCCCAAGTATGCCCTTTCCCTTAAGGGGGAAATCTAACTTTTCAAAGAAAATTAAAGATAAAATTCCCAATTGAAAAATTGGGTTTTCCTGAAAACTATTTCCCTTCTCATAGAATACATCCTTTGTTTTAAAAATAATCTTAGAACCTCAGTTGGAAGCTAACAGCATTTTCTGCAACACACCTCACCCCACTCCTCAGCACATCCATGCACAGGGCACTCACACGCGAGACCTTTCGCAGAAGCTGACCAGTGCCCCTGGCAAGGAAGTCTTGAGTGGTGCACCCACACCTGTGTGCAGGTACGTATGGACACAAACATACACATGATGCACCAGAGCGATACACACACAGAGACCCACATTCAAGCGCCTCATGCACATCAGAGGTCATATCCGGATATGAATTGCACACACGCAGTCACAAAGAGCAGAGGAGGAGGCGGGCAGGACTTAGAGCCTGGCAGACAGAAGAGAGAGAAGGTAAGTGGTTAGCAGGTGAGAGAAGGTGGGGATTGGTCGGAAAGAAGGTTGGAAGCAGGTAGATGAAACAAAGAACATGCGGGAAGGAAGGCTGCTGAGTGGTTGGCGACGTTACCAAAGCATATTTTTTTTATGAAACAACTGAATTCTCTGCTACATGTTAACCTCGGCTACCCCAGCTCAGCGATTCTCTCCTTGCCTCCCCAGGGCTGCTCAGCACCAGCAGGGTCAGGGAGGTGACTGTGAGCTGCCCCTGCTGCTCTGGCAGACTCCTGCCCCTACGGTGTTCCCTGCTTCTTTGCTTGCTGACACCTGCAGTGCCACTTTGCCTGGAGGAGCCCGAGATACTGAGGTGGATTCATTCCACCTGTGTTTGGGTGCTAGCCACTAAGACAGCTATTGTGAGATGCATGGCCTTGAATATCAAGAGGAAAAGGAAGAGGATGGGGACAGTCAAGAGTTCTCCATTAATTTACACAATATCGTACAAACTTGACCCATGGGGAGTGGAGGCGCTCTCTCTGCACGTGACCCATTTCTTTTCATCTTCACAGAAGCCACCCTTAGGAAAGGGGCAGACATCCAGTGACAAGGAAAGCTTCCACGATGGGGAGTGAAGGTCTTGTACTTGTACAAAAGCAACCAGAGGCAACATGCCTCCTCCCTTCTGAACCATGTGTTCCCTCTCTTCTCTCACGGCTTTTGTGCCCAGCTGTGCCTTGAACTTCCAAATTTAGGCGATTAAATGCTGCAGAGTCCCAGAACTGTCATGTGAAGAACCACAGGGTCCTCTGGCCCAGGGGTTTTGTTCTTGGTTCTGCCCTCTGGGAATTTCAGCTGTACCAAAAATAATAGAAAAAATGCCACACAAACAATAACACCCCACACTCAGGAAATATCCACCACACACACACACACACACGCACACGCGCACACGCACACACGCACACGCACACACACACATGCACACACGCACACGCACACATGCACACACGCACACACTCCAGGGATCTGTGGCTGCAGAACTGGTGCCCATACAGGTTTGCCCTCCTGAGATTCCCTAGGTCTCTGGGTCCCCACTGTGGGCCATGAAACCACTACAGTGATAGAGCAACCACAGTCATAATGCAATAATTCCACTTAAAAGGCAGAAAAGAAAAAAAGGAAACCACCCGAAGTACACACACACACACACACGCACATCACAGCATTACTCCAAGGCTCTGATCTGCCCAGGGAGTGCAGGTGGGGCTAGGGACAGGGTGGCCTCTTGTTTAACTGGATGTAAGGCAGCTGGAAGGTAAGACTGGGTTTTCTGAGCATCCTCTGAAGTGTCCTTTTATCGATGCAGATCTTGCCTCTCAGCATGTTCTCTCCCCTTCCCACCTCTAAAGCTTTGTCCAAAAGTTTGGCAGCAAAGAGAAAACTTCCTCCTCAGTTTGTTTTCTCGTACACTCCTTGTGTGTTGCTGGTGGGCCAGGAAGAACGTCAGAACAGGAAGAGCAGGAGGAGAAGTGACTCTGAAGATGGCCTCGACAATTTGGTTACATTCTATGAACTAAGGGCTTGGTGTCCCTGTGATATGACTGGTGGGGTGGCGTCCTCTCCTGTCGGCCCAGTGGGTAGCAATTCCTTCTTTACATCTGTGTTGCTTCAGACCACTGCCACGGTCCCTTCACCACCCCGTCCTGGTGAGCGACAGGGATCAAGATGCTATTGCAAGTGGTGGTGTTCACTCTGTCTTCAAGAAACCATGAAGCCAAAGTCAAGAATCGATGGCAGAGCCACAGGATGGGAGCACTTTCCCCATCTTGGTGATGAGGTGACACAAAGTCTGGCGAGATGCGGTGCCTGAGCCAACTCAACTCTCCCTTGGCACTGGCATCGTCTTGATTTAGTTTTGTTTTATATATGTATATTATATATATATTTATATATATATATATATATGTATGGGTTTGGGTTTTTTAGCACACTGTCCCATTCTCGGGTCTGGATTTAGGGCAGTTGGTCCTCGGGACAGGTTGGACAGAAGGGGCCAAGGTACAGAAGAATCCCGAAATGAGTGTGAGGCCCAGGCCCCCCCACGCACAGAACATGGACCATCCATAGCCATGGCTGATGTCATCGGGGAGTCCATACAGGTAGCGAGGGTAGCGTGACAGCTCAAAGTTGATCCCGGCCACACAGGTGCACAGTGAAATGATACAGAAGGTTCCTGGAGGACAAGGGAAAAAATACGGGGTGGGGTAATCAGGAAGGAAAGGGAAGAGGAGAGGGAGAGAGAAAGAGAGAAGTTAGGATTACGACATTTTCAATTTTCTTGAGTAGATGCAGGTAAGAGTAGGCTAATACCGGGATCAATACCTGGAAATATTCAGGGGGAGAGTAGTATTAAGTAAGCATCCTTACTCTCTAATAATCGCCCAGTCTCGAACAAACTCAGAAGTCTCTCTTTTGGGAAAATGCTAATTAAAAATCTTGGTAGAGTTTCATGTTGGGTAGACCAAGGCAGAAAAGCACTCAGTTCGTTTTTCTAAAGCATTTTAAATTCATTGCCTTTCTTTGGAGACACAGAAAACATCCCTTGTTTGTTTCTTCTTTAAAGAGGAAAACATCTTTTTTTCTTTCCCTCTACATCACGACTTGTACACTATTAGGTTTTCCTATAATCCATTCACCAACAACTCATCCAAGTCCTGGAAATCTTTTCCCTTTTCCTATAGAACAACATTTCCCAAAGTGTTCTCCACGGAACACTAACCCTCTGAGATACCCCTTCACGGAGTGACACAGGAAGTCAAAAAACTGGGAACCTCACATGTGACTCCTCACCTAGAAAGACCCATAATCCTCATTAGCATAAGTTGACTTGTCTAACCTAGTTTTATGAGGTATTTCACAAATTTGTTTGATGATGGGACTTCCGCTTAAAAAATATTACTCATATTAACCTCCAAACAGAAGATTGCTTTAAGAGCTAGAATGGTATAAAACAGTTGAGAATTATAAACCGATTTTTAACCAATACAAATATTTGGTGCATGTAGAATGAATTCAAGCATGTGTCTCAGTATTGGCTTTGTCATATGTTCCCTATGTCACCAATAATGGGAAAGCAATGACCTGAAGAAGTGTGTATAGTTTGGGAAGGCTGGGCTGGGTCAATGGAAGGAAGAGGCAGAAACATATTTTTTTAAGTGGAGGGAAGAGGAGGAGGTGCATTGTGTTTTATATTTATTATAAAAACTCATGCCTCCTAATGGCCAAGTTTCTTTAAGATCCAGACTTATGAAAAAATATGGAGTGGGATAATGAGGCTCATTTAAATGGCCATAGTAGCAGCAGTCATATCTGACATGCATCAAGTGCTGTGTGCTGAGAATTGCACTAAGTGCATAGCATGCGTTGAGTCTTTAATTCTTAAAACAACTCTATGAGGTAGGTTATATTATTATCCCCATTTTAGTAATGAAGATACTGAGGTCCAGAGAGGTTAAGTCATTTGCCTAAGATCACACAGCTGGTAACTGGTAGAGCCAAGCTACAAACTCAGGCGGGCCAGTTCCAGAGCATGCAGTCTTATTCACTATACAATTTAAGACTGGCATCAGGCAAGGGGGTCACTTCGTGGACTCCCTTTGTTGTACTACTAGGTTCCAGCTGAATTCTATGTCACTCAGTATAGGTTAGGGCAGTTTGCAGTCTTGGAGGACCTGTTAAAGCAGGTTGCTGGGCCCCACCCCCAGTGTCTGGTTCAGTACGTCTGGGGTGGATCCTGAGAATTTGCATTCCTAGCAAGTTCTTGGGTGATGGTGATGCTGCTGGTCCGGTAACCAACCACACTTTGAAACCATTGGGTTAGGAAAAAGGTTTTATGAGAGAAAGATGAAACTTAATAGGCCAAAGATCAGATCACAGAGGAAGGACTACAAATAGGCAATAAATATTTTTAAAAATGCTTAATTTTACAAGTAATCAAACAATTGAAAATAAAAGCATGGTGATAGAGCATGATCTATCAAACTAGTGAAGTTTTATTTATTTATTTATTTATTTTGCATTGTTCTTTTAATGGTCGTCTCCAAAACTAGTAAGGGAGCAGTAAAATGGATTATCTTAAAGACTCCAGTGGAAGTATAAACTGGTGTTTCCTTACAGAAAAGTGATCATTAAAATATTCATACCTTTGACTTGGTGATTTCATTTTAGGTTAAGAAAATTATCCCATCTGGAGACAAAAATTTATTTTACTTTATTTTTTTTCTTCCAAATTTTATTTTATTTTGTCAATATACAATGTGGTTGATTATTGTGGCCAATTACCTAAATCTCCCTCCCTGGAGAAAAAAATTTAGATATAAAGATGTTCATGTAGTGGAAGATTCATTGAAGAGTGGCTGTTGGAGGGGGGCCAACGTGAGCCCGATATTGGGGTGAATGTTGCTCTCTGAGCTGAGAAGTTTGAGCTTTACCTGGAAGCCTTGGAGAGGTCAAGGTACTTTGGTGACTCCAATCTGCACTTGCAAATTTCTCTAAGTCAGAAGTGTAGATGATAGTTCAGAGGGAGGGAGATCAGTTAGGAGGCTGCTGTGGTCATCAGGGAGGAGGAAGAAGGGCCTAGCAAGGTGGGAACAGAGCCTGGAGCTCCTCATGGTGAATGATTATGGAGAGAACTGAAAGTGATGTGTCAGGGTGACCTGGGCATGGTGCAGCATAACTAAAAAAGAGTGTGTCACATGTATGTGTGCATGTGTATGTATTTGTGTGTTTGTGTGTGTGCATGCATAAGTATGTGTGTATGTATGTACATGTGTGTGCACGGTGTGCATTTGTGTGTGTATGTAGCAACAGCAACAGCATACACATACAGCATCATTGTTACTTATGAGAACAATGGTCCCAAACTTGCACAAGTTACAAAGCATCACAGTTCCCTGTTGTGCTATAGGGCTCAGACTGAACTCTCTGATGGTCCTAGGGTGTATTGTGTCTCATCCCAGACTTCCTGAATCAGAATCTCTTGGGGGAGAGCACGGGAATCTTTAGTTTCTAAAAGTGCCTCGTGACTGCATCCACCACTGCCGCAGTCACCACTACTGCCATCACCACTGGGCAGGCACCATCATCTTATGAGCAGCCCACCACCACTGGAGCCACTGCTGCCACATGGGCAGCCCACCACAGCCACCACCACTGCAAGGGCAGCCTGTCACCACAGTAGCAGCCATCACTGCTGCAGAAGACACTGCTGCTATGCAGGCAGACCACTAACCACTCAACTGAATTGACAAAAGGAGGGTCACCAGCGGAGTCCAAGGAAAAAAGTGAGTGAGCACAGACCTGTGACCCAGTGGCCCAACACACAGGGGGGAATTACGCTGCCCCCCATGGTATTGCACCTGGGGGTGGGAGCTATGTGGGCAGCCCATGCAACTGCTCAAAGATCCCCAAACAAATTCAATCCAAAAAGATCCTCTCCAAGACACATTATGGTCAAACTGGCAAAACTCATAGACAAAGAGAAAATCCTAAAAACAGCACGAGAAAAGCATCAAGTCAACTATACGGGAGTTCTCATCAGCCTAACAGCAGATTTCTCAACAAAAACACTACAGGCCAGAAGAGAATAGGATGATATATTCAAGATACTAAAAGAAAAAACTGCCAGCAAGAATACTATCCTGAGCAAGGCTATCCTTCAGAAATGAAGGAGAAATAGTGTATTTTCCAGACAAACAAAAACTATGGGGGTTCACCGCCATATCACCAGCCCTACAAGGATTCCTCAAGGGAATCCTGCATCTGGAACCTGAAAAATACGATAATCACTACCATGAATATACAAAAAAGAACAAAACCCACTGGTAGAACAAAAATGCAATTGAGAAAGAGAAAAGAAACTATATCTCACCAACTCAAAAAGCCAACAAACACCAAAGACAAACAATAAAAGGGAAAGAAAGGAACAAAAGATATTGAAAACATCCAAATGAAAATCAATAAAATGCCAGGAGTAAAACAATACCTTTCAATAACAACACTAAATGTAAATGGATTTATTCCCCTCTCAAAAGACACAGACTGGCTGATTGGATTAAAAAGCTAGTCCTAACTATATGCTGTCTACAAGAGACTCACTTCACCTGTAAAGACACACACAGACTAATAGTGAAGGAATGAAAAGGAAAAAAGATATACCACACAAATGGAAATCAAAAATGAGAAGGGCATATATTGGGTAAAATAGGCTTTAAACCAAATCCATAAAAAGAGACAAAGAAAGCAATTATATAATGATAAAGGGATCTATCCAGCAAGAAGACTTAACAATCACAAACATATATGCATCCAACACCAGATCACCCAGATATATAAAGCAAACACTATTAGACCTAAAGAAAGAAACTCAAATATGATAACAATTGGGAACCTGAACACCACTCTCTCAACACTGGACATTTCATCTAGGCAACAAATCAACAGAGAAACACAGGATTTAAACCACACTTTAGACCAATTAGATTTGGCAGATATCTACAGAATATTTTATCCATCAACCACAGAATATACATTCTTCTCATTAACACATGGAACATTCTCCAGGATCAACCACATGTTAGGTCACAAATCAAGCCTCAAATTTTAAAAAACTGAAATCATTTCAAGTACCTTTTCAGACCACAATGGATTAAAACTAGAAATCATCAACAAGCAAAACTCCAGAAATTATACAGACACATGGAAATTAAACAACATGCTCCTGAACAACCTATGGGTTCAAGAAGAAATTAAACAGAAAATCAAAAAACTTCTTGAAACTAATAAAATAAAGACACATCATACAAAAACCTGTGGGATACTGAAACGCAGTACTACAAGGGAAGTTTATTGCAATAAATGCTTACATCAAAAGAATAGAAAAACTTCAAATAAACAACCTAACACTACACCTCAAAGAACTAGAAAAAGAAGAACAGTCCAATACCAAGATTAATATATGGAAATAAATAATTAAGACCAGAGCAGAACTAAATTAAATAGGGACCCAAAAAATGATACAAAAGATCAATGAAACAAAAAGTTGGTTTTTTGAGAAGATAAACAAAACAGACATTATCTAAGCTAACTAGAAAAAGAAAAGGGAAGACTCAAATAACAAAATACAGAAATGAAAGATGAAACATTACAACCAATACCACAGAATTATAAAGAATC